CACCCGACTCGGAACTCAGGCAGATATCTGAAAGTCTCCTCAATGAAGCAGCCGGGTTGGGCGGTATTGAAGGTGGACAAAAGAACGGCAATACTTCCGCTGTACAGGGGCTTGACAAGGAAAGTCAGATCTTGGTCGAGAGACTTGTGGCCAGTCTTGGGAAGTGTGTCCTAGGGCTGACAGAGTCATCAAGAGCTGGTACGGAGGCACGCATGTACCGCAGGAGAATTGATGCTGCGCGACGTATTCTTGAGGGGCTTGAAGAGTGAGTACACTTGCCCGAATACTTCTATCAGGCCAAGTATCGTATCCCGAAGCGGTTGTATTTTTCTTGCATGGCGCTTTACATGGAGGTGGATAGGGATATTATCACACATGATGATGCTCTGGTTTTGAGCAGACGGAGTTGAGGCCTGTCTTGGATGAGACCAGGTTATTTTCGATACCCTTCAAGTCTAGCGGTTTGCTTCCTTATTCATTCTCAAACTCATGACCTTTACAGTACTTTTTTATAGCTTCAATCACGACATATATCATCTATCAATTCATGGCACTCAGACGGTCTCTGCCATACTTACGTGCTGTTTGCGCATGTTGGTCCGTGCTATGATCTTGATCCTTTAGTTAGACCCTTACTTAATTAAGGTAGCTAAGATTGCACCATTTTGCATGTGATAGACTCAGATAAGTTCAAAAAGGAGAATGTGATCGAACAACTAGGTCACAGGCTATTGATTGCTATGTTATAGTTCATAGATCCCCATTTCTATTTGCTTAAGCCATCCTATCATGTCGTGGTCCTCGTCGTCGTACCAGTACCTTGCAAACGTCTTTTGACGCTCGTGCTGATATTCCAGAGCACAACCATCCTACTCAGCCTAGGATAAAATCAAATTTGTAGAGAGTAGTCTGATGAAAATCCACAGTGCAGTAATATCCCTATCAGAACTCGAGTAAATACCAGGCCATTTCAGATATCAAGTCACGTTCCAGAAAACAAAGGACCAAGCAGTAATTAATGCTTACCTGAGCTGGGTATCTTAGACCGCAACTTTCCCTTCACATCTACCCTGGACGCTCGCACAGAAAAGCCACGAAACAACATTTCCCCCACCAGCGTCAACAAACTCAAACCCAAACCTTACACCGACAAGATTTCCATCACAAATTATCGCCGAAATGCCCTCCGTGGAACCTCCAACCCTGGCAACGCACCTCCTCACAGCGCTGCTCCCCCCAGAGCTCGCCGATTCTATCCAAAAGCACATCCTGCACCCACGCTCGCCCGTCCAAGTCATCGCGCGCAACGTTCTCGACCAGGCGCAGAGTCTTCTTGACACGGCTGCGCCTCTTCTCGAGCCTCTATTTGATCGCGTCATGATCTTGCTAGCAGAAAACCAAGGCCTCGTCGGTGTGATTGCATCGCTGGTTGTGCTTGCTACTGTTGTAATAATTCTCAATTGGATTCGTCGTCTGCTCATGTGGTGGACTCGCATGGCTATGCGCATCGCGACTTGGGCTTTTCTACTTGCTCTTGCAGCGTGGATCTGGGAGCGCGGTGTCTTTGAGAGTGCAAGGGACATGGCTGTCATGGGCGGCAAGATCGTGGGATACCTGGCCGTCATCAAGGATGTTTGGCTGCAGGAGTATGATCGCTACGAGGCGCAACAGGGCGTGGCTGGGACCAGAGGCACGGCTTCCGGACGAAGATCGAGATAAACAACGTCCACACAGAAAAAATGTATGCGGACAGCGAATACACAGCAATGGCTGTTTGGCACAGGACCCGACACATTTTGAATACCCCCAGAAGACGGAACATCAAGGAAAGCGCCACAAAAAAACAGAGCATGGGTATATCATGACCACACAACATAACTCATCCATCAGCACCATTCTTATGATTTATCACGAAAGAGGCGGAAGAGGCAGGGTAGGAAAAAGAGCGAGACTGTGACACATCACGTCCAAGCTCAATTCTATCTCAGACCATGAGAAGCAATCAGTAACGCCGGCGCTATGCAATACTACTATCAAGATACCACAGATTCCCCTTCTCCCAGGTTCTCCATTTGCCATTATATCCACACTAATCATCATGATCCTCATATTCCTCATCGTGGGGCTCTTTGGGATCCTGAGCTTCGTGGAACTGTATGCAGTCATCAATGTAGCTCAGAATAGCACCAACGCTGTCCTCGTTGGTCACGTCTAGCCTGAGATAGTTGATCATGCTGAAGCTCTCGATCAGGCCAGCCACCGCTCGGTTCAGTCGTCGGAAACTAGCACCTTTCATCACTTGTTCCTTCTCGTCAGGTGCCTTTGACTCGTCATCTTCGGCTTCAGGACCCCCTGTGACACGACGCGCACGCTCGATGGGGTCATCATCGAGCAGACCTACATCGGGTGTAAGGAAGCGCTTGAGATCCTTCTTCTTCACTTGGCCCTTGACGAGATCCATCTTGGACAGAATGTTGATGTGTGGCACCTCGAGCATGAGCATGGCACTCATAGCACTAAGAGTACCAGAGAAAAACTTTGCTCGATCGACGACGAATGTTGCTTCGAGGAGATAGACAGCGGCCATGCGGATATCAAGAGAGCCCGGCTGGGACAGAAATTTGACCAAAGCGGGTAGAATAGGGACATGTGTATATAATTCGATCTGGCCAGGCATGTCGAAGATAATGAGATATTCTTCAGTTAGACTGTCGAGAGCTTCAGTCAACCAGTCGAGGTTCTCCATAAGGAACTCAAAGCAATAAATCAGGCCACCGTTGGGTCCGAGGCCAACTTCCTCCATAGCATCTTTGAGAGAAATAAGTTCTTTGATGTCGAGATCTGGTTCATGTTCAAATGATTCGGCGGCAGGGTCAAGGTTAATGTAAAAGGCAGAACGGCGATTAAGATTAAGATGAGTGATGAGGGCGGCGCAGAAAGTAGACTAGACGCGACAGAATGCAAAGTTAGTTGGGCGCATTGATGAATGTTGGGAACAAAAAACAGCACGCGATCCAGGACAGCATGATGAGAACGATGATGCAACAAGAGGCGGTATTGTAGAACAGAGGCAAAAGCAGGGGGGAGTTCCACGTACCTTGCCCGCACCCGCAGGGCCCATGATCATGGCACCGAACTTGCTCATGTTGAAGATACTAAGATGTTGTATGTTGTTTGTTTTGTTTTAAGAACAAGGGCCAAGATCAGATTTGATAGCTCCAGGGTCGAGGCTACCAGGTAGCTACAGATTCTAAGCAGCCCCGCTTGCTTGATATAGAGGGGGCCGAAGCGGCAGAAGAGTATGACAGAAAGGGGTAGCTCTGCACCGTATGGCCAAGGTTCAACGTCGGTTATATCTCGCTGTTTGGAATTCGACGAGGATTACACTTCTCGATGTGGTGACGGTGACGAGCTTGTGAGAGGCAGTGAATTTTGATATGTTCTGGAAGGGAACCTGAATGGTGGGGTAAAAGTTCGGATTTTTTCACACCTTCTTTTCCTCGCCGTTTTTGCCCCTCCTGCTCCAGCGCCATAAAAAAAAAAGTCGGTTTCTCAGCCTCTTTTTCGTTTCTGGCCTCTCGTGTGAAGCTATCTGCCCCGCCATTACTATACATGTACTAGGTTATCATGCCTAGACTCGGGGCCATCATGATAACTTTTTTACGTTAGTAGAGACAGACACATTTTCATCGACATCCACTCGACTATCTTCTCCGGATGCTGGTGCACGTGTATGAAAATCCGTCAGGGAATTGGTCCAGGATTATTCTTGGAAGGATTGCGGCTGATAGGTTCGGCAACTCTGGCCCATTATTCCTACAACCGGATATCCTAACTTAGATGAGGGGATTGACGGGAAGCGGGGAGACGAGTACGAGTGAGGACGGATTGCAACTGCATTGATGAGCTCGGGTTAGCGAGAGGGTGCAAGAAAAGCGAGATTAACATGTAGAGTCAAGACCTCAACAACTCAACCTATGAGAAACCCTATACTCAGACTTAGACTACCTAAGGTACCTTGAGTAATTGAAGCTTAGGAATAGATTTGAGTAATTACTCGTACAAGAGAAAATGGACATTGCACAATCAACACTGAGAAGGACACATGCTTTCTTGTATTCCGAACACTGGCAGGCACTTTCTGCAACTGACGGCAGGTGCGATGGCGCAATACTGCCGCAAATTTCGGCTTCCGAAGAACGTGCCTTTTCTCTCTTTCCCAGTGCCATTTACCCCTCCATCGCCAAGGGTAGCGGCCACCGAAAGCCTACCACTGTGATAAGGAGTGTACCTGTGCTTCACGCTATTTCCCCATACTGATACGTGTACCCTCTTATGACTTCGGACCCTGTAGATTTGGACAATCGCGACCGAGGGCCGTTCAACAGAAAAAAAAAAAAAGAGCTGGCACTATCTTTTTTTGTCGATCCCCACCTTTTCATTGAGAAGCCATTGTACTGTAGCATTGGGCAATATTTGATGGGTACATTGAGATTGTAGTCATATGGGCGTAAACCGAGTCATTGCACAAGTCGCGAGTAAGCTCATCCTGCCAGTTGTCTACAAGATCTGGAAGAAAGGATGAAAGAAAAAACTGCCCGGGCCAAGGCGCTGACCTACATAAATATCTCCGACCTTTTTGTAAGGAAAATTCACACCCCCCACTTCGCTCATAATAAAGCCTGCAACAACGTATTCGCACATCCCCCTCCTTCCCGCCTTTTTCTTTAAGGTACTACTACCTCCCGCTCCCGCTTCGAATCTTTTTCTGCTTTTCCCTTCTTCTTCATCCTCTTCCTACTTCCTCCCTTCTTCAGCGCCTTCTGTCTTTGGTATGTCCTCGTTCCAATTGCTCTCCATTGTCGACTCGCTCTAACATTCAGTCTTTTCAGTGATCTCAACCCCATCGTCACCAGAAACACAGACTTGTCCGGGTCTGCCCAGCTTTAACCGTCACCTCTTTCTCTCACATTCTTCTCCTTCTTAACCTAATCCCCACAATGTCTGCTACCAACGGCACCAACGGCGTTCACGCCGAGCTCTCCTCATGGAAGCACTACAACGAGGGTTCTTTCCTCTTCACTGTAGGTCCCCCTGACCTTCCCGTCGCGTAGCTCACACCTGAGCGATCCCTTATCGGAACTATCAATGTGACCTTGTACCGAGGTCTTATTATCCCGCAGTCCAGTCACTGACAATCAACCAGTCCGAGTCCGTCGGCGAGGGTCACCCCGACAAGATCGCTGATCAGGTTTCCGACGCTATCCTCGATGCTTGCCTCAGGGAGGACCCCCTCTCCAAGGTTGCTTGCGAGACTGCCACCAAGACCGGTATGATCATGGTCTTTGGTGAGATCACCACTCAGGCCAAGCTTGACTACCAGAAGGTCGTCCGTGATGCCATCAAGGACATCGGCTATGATGACTCTGCCAAGGGTTTTGACTACAAGACCTGCAACTTGCTCGTCGCCATTGAGCAGCAGTCTCCCGATATCGCTCAGGGTCTTCACTACGAGAAGGCTCTCGAGCAGCTCGGTGCTGGTGACCAGGGTATCATGTTCGGCTATGCCACTGACGAGACACCCGAGCTCTTCCCCCTCACTCTCCTCTTCGCCCACAAGCTGAACGCTGCCATGTCTGCTGCTCGCCGCGACGGTTCTCTGCCCTGGCTCCGACCCGACACCAAGACCCAGGTCACCATTGAGTACAAGCACGACAACGGTGCCGTTGTCCCTCAGCGCGTCCACACCGTTGTTGTTTCCGCTCAGCACTCTCCCGATATCTCCACTGAGGAGCTCCGCAAGGAGATCAAGGAGAAGATCATCAAGAAGGTCATCCCCGCCAAGTACCTCAGCGACGAGACCATCTACCACGTAAGTTTGTCAAAACAAAGCAAGGAAGAAGCGAAAGTGCTAACTCTCCCTTCAGATCCAACCCTCTGGCCTCTTCATCATTGGTGGTCCCCAGGGTGACGCTGGTCTGACCGGCCGAAAGATCATCGTCGATACCTACGGTGGCTGGGGTGCCCACGGTGGTGGTGCTTTCTCCGGTAAGGATTTCTCCAAGGTCGATCGATCTGCTGCCTACGTCGGCCGATGGATTGCCAAGTCCCTCGTCAACGCCAAGCTCTGCCGACGTGCTCTTGTCCAGCTCTCCTACGCCATCGGTGTCGCTGAGCCTCTCTCCATCTACGTCGACTCCTACGGCACTTCCGAGAAGACCTCTGAGGAGCTTGTCCAGATCATCCGAGACAACTTCGACCTCCGACCTGGTGTCATTGTCCGTGAGCTCAACCTGGACCACCCTATCTACCTCCAGACTGCCAAGAACGGCCACTTCGGTACCAACCAGTCCTTCAGCTGGGAGCAGCCCAAGGAACTCAAGTTCTAAGTTGACCACTGACATTGTATCAAGTCACCAAAAGAGTATTCAACAGCTCTCTGCATGCATCTTGAAGATGTTTAATCAGTTCATTTGATTTAGCAAATATAGGCGGCGTACGGTTCTCAACGAAACCTGTGTATCTCCCACCGGAAGGGAGGACGGTCGGTTTCCGGCTTTTATTTTGTTTATAATTTCTATCCAAAAAGCCATTTCGGTTCTACGGTAGTGGGGATTCTTTTGCGATATATACCAGGCACGGAGTGGGCGTCTTTCAACAAAGACATATTAGGGCAAACCTGCATTTGTGAGGCGAAGCAAAAAAAAGTCAACAGAGACTTGCATTTTAACGATACCACGACAAGGGAATGACAAAAAGACGACGCGTTCGTGTAAGAGCGGCGTTTTGACGAGGAAACAAAAGAACTTCAACATCTTTTTCTTTCCTGGATCTCTAGCCGAGCTGATGCAGTAGGCGGGCGAGACCATGACGCGGTGGAAGTTGGATGGATCATTGGCAAGAATGTCAATCTTGGAGAGAAGTAACTGAAGTGAAGGGCTAGTGTTACACATGCCCTGTCGCTGCGAACCGAGACAGCAGCTAGACCAAGAAAGAAATCACGTCAAGGGAATACTTGTTCAAAATGTGTTTGCTGTGAAGTCTGAAGTCTGATGTCGAATACACAAATAGGTTGGTTGCGCTGCGTTGGCGTCGAATAGTTGTCATGATGGTCTTGGCCACAAACGGAAACCCGAAACTCTCATACCCACGGGAGGTCACGCCACGAAGGCCCCCTCATCATGACAACCCATTGAGCTATGCATGAGCTGGTACCATATATAACGTCCTGACATCGCTTGGTATACTCCAAGACTAAATCTCCCGTAATTGAAATGGTGTAACCGCTAGGTCCAGAAAGGTCCTGGCAACAGTAAGATATTCCTAGATATAATCACTTCTTTCTTTGATATTGTGGAGTTGCTTGAAGTGATGTCACCCTTGCCTCGAAAAGGATACTATCACAGACGATCTATAAGCTTGCGGCTGTGAAGTCGAGTTAACAGTTCGTGAGTAAAGTGCGGTGAGGCAGCTTAACATCCCAGCGAGAACAGTGTCTGATGAAAAGTTCACTACGCCATGTGAGGTCCGAAAGCCCCAGGGAGGAGACCGCTTAAAAACCGCCATATTACCGAACATAACTGTGACTTGCTAAGGTGCTCTGTCATTGAACTCTTAACAGAAAGGAGTCTATAGAAGGTTATGTGCCACGCAATGTGATGAGCCCTCCCAGAACCAACGACATTCTACAGGTGAAAACCCACCATGGCAGCATAGGTGCACAAGGCCCCCAGCCTCCACCATCCGGTTGCATGGGAAGTCGAACTGGGTGAAGCCGATGCCCCGTGCCGTAAAAAGTGTTGCCAAGTCTGGGCCCCTTGGACTCATCTGGACCATGTCAAGTGTATTGCTTGAAGCCGCGTTGCACTCATTCCAACAGCAGCATATCAGCGATGTTGAAGGATAGATGTTTGGATTTGAAGTCTGAAGAGTAAAAGAGACAACTGGCTGGCACCATGAACTTTAGCCCAATGAACATGGAGTGCATCAGGGGTTACCTTCAAGAGAAGGTCACCACAAATGGAAATGAGGAAGACCCTACTGTCCACGAGAAAACGCGTGCCCCAGGTCCTCAGAATCTGAAAGCGCCTTCGTGTGGCAATCTTTGTTTTGAGCCATTCGCGCCTACAGCTGCTTCTTTTGCCAGGAATTCTTAAAGCTGAATGGCAACTCTCCAACCTTTTGTGTAATCGTGTTTCACGCGGTGTGGGAACTGTCGAATCTTCTGACATAGGGGTAAAAGATGAAGTAGCCTATCTGCCTTTCGGATACCCCTGATTTATTAGACCTCATATCATTCTTGGAACTCCTCAATTTAAATCCAGCGTTGTATTGGGACACTAGGGGAGTCCAAGCAAATACTGGTCTTGTGATGAAAACATTACAGAGTAATTTTGATTCGACGAGGAAGAGCACGGACAAATGGGTATTGAGAAACGAAGCAGGAAGGAAGATACCTCCCGTGAAAGCATTATCGACGAGAAACAAGACAACTCGCCTCCTCAACGATGATTGAAGACCGGAGCCAGTGTCAGCATGTTGGTGGATGACGCTATCTGAAAGCGAGACCAGCAAGTGGCACCCTGGTGACTTTATGGCTGCATTTCTCGCAAAATCGAGAACAATTGTTCACTCTCTGGATGCTGTGATTTGCAGAATGGCGCAGTGAGCTTGGCACTAGCCAGCTGCTTTTGCAGTATTTGATGACCCAGGCCCCAGGGGCCGCACGATCCGATATGGATGTGTGTGCTTGAAGTAGTGCACAGGACTCATTGATACCGACTAGACCACATAGGCTGCATAAAATACCTTTAATTAAAAAGGGCTTCCAGAGGACCTACGTTCCATGCCCAGTCAACAAGTACCAGCAAGTTTACCTCTGCATATGAAGATATGAAGGGTATTTCAGGACAGGCATTCGAAAGAACAACCTTGTCCAATTGATTGAGAAGCCTTAATCTGCATTCAGAAGCCCACTGGCTCATGCCCCATCTCATTTATGATCATGGCTTATGCCCAGGTCAACGATGAGGAAGACGCGGCTTGACATAAGCTTTCCAACTTGGCTAAAGGTGATAGGACCAAACCGCCTCAAGAGCAAAAAGGAGGAGCATATAGCGGTTTGAAGAACATGACTTGACTTTGAGACATATTCAAAAAGCCTCGAGTTGTTTGCTTGGTGGCTTACAGGCCCAGTCCTTCGATCCGAAAACCCAGATGTGCCGTTGAGCAAGTTTAGGGCATTCCGTTTATTTACCGAGCTGAAAGACTTGCTCAAATTTCTTGAATTGGAGGGGAGTGTAGTCTTCATCATCCCGTGTGGTATGAATAAACGTGGGAGGGACTACCAACAGACCGTAGGCATTGTTCTTTGGCAAAGGGTGTATTATCAGAAGCTGACGGTATGTCACAACTGTGACTGTAGAATGAGTAGATTCACATCTCATCATCTGCAGATCTTTGTTTGTTTGAGACATAAATTGTGCGAATATGACTGCACGGTGGAGGCAGCCCGTTCAGCCAACGATGTCGGCACTTGACGAAAGGCTATGCGGAAGCCGACGTCGGACCATGAGTACCAGGAGTGAAGTACTCAACCAACTGGACCCTTGGATCAAGAATTGTCACAGGTGAAACGACCTTTCCTTAGTCCTTCTAGTTGTTTTTAGAGGTAAACATTGTAGCTGATGCACAGCAGGCTTATACCCACAGCATCAATAGCCACCTATGAATATCGAGTGAAATGTACTGAAGCCCAGAACTGCTGGTATACTCTGAATTGCAGTGTGTCAAGAACCAGCAGGCCGGATGGGAAGAGGATCGTCCCGGGTACGCCATTATAGCGTAGTCACTCTGCTGGTATTCTGGGCTTGGACGCTGAAGGTTAAGGCAGCATAGAAAGTGAGAATTGGGACCGGGGGCCCAAGCTTGAATAGACAGCAGAACCGAGGAGATGGTTTGGCAGTCAAAAGGCTGCTTCGGTTAAACTGGTTATGGTTCTGCAGGAGGTAGATATGACGCCGCGAACCTGGTAGACGTTGGTGACCAGCGCATGGACCTTTGTTTGTTTGTTGGGAAATTGAATGGGCAAGGTTTCTTTCGGCGAATTATAGAGAGTGTGAGTGGACAATATGATATTGTTTGTCGGTAAGGAGGTGGTGTAGTGTAGTGTGGTGTAGTGTAGTGTGGTGTAGTGTAGTGTGGTGTGGTGTGGTGTGGTGTGGTGCAGTTTCGTCCTAGACTGTCTGAAGGGTGTAAGTCCCCGAGATGCATCACGGCAGGGATGATGGATGGTTGTGACCGTTTGGAACATGCGCTTGTCAGCCCAAGAGAGGAAGCTCGTAAGGAGGACATATCTAGGTACTTTCTATTGTCGGCTGTCATGGGTACATTCGTGTTGGCTGAGGTGTACAGAACCGAGTTTGAGTGTGCAAAAGTTGGAGGGAGAATGAGACTGTGGAGGTTGCGGAAGGCGGCAGGAGTCCGTAAATGTGGACCTGGGCCACGGGCGCTAAACCCGAAGTGGGCCTCAATAAGAAGCGAATAGGCGGCAGGTGTCGCCCGTGGTCGGTGCCTCGATTCAGCCCATTCGGTCGGGACTGCGGGCTGACAGGGGGGGTTTACGGGGGCTATTCGACAACAATACTAAGCGCGTCTGGGGACAATAGGAAGCAACAAGCCGCCAAGCCGCGCCCCGAAAGCCACCTTTACGCCTTCCGCGTCCGCATCGGCCAACCACGTTCTGCTAAAAGGTTCGCTTTTCCAATGTCGGTCGTGACTGACTGATGTTCAATCTCAGAGTCAGCGCTTTACTGCACTGAGGTTGGTATTGATGACTTTGTCTTTAGAATGTGCTGATCATGAAGAAAAGTGATACAATGCCTAAACGATCATCTGTTAACGAGCAAGTAGGTACTCAGAATGTAGGAAGGTTACAGCCCTGATGGTTACTTTATTCAATGCTTCTCTTGTTGGACTTATTCATGCCGTGGCTACAGGCAGGTTAGTATTGTTGATCTCCGAAACCTTGCGTTGAAACTCCCCAGTATCATATATGACAAAGGCTGGATTTTGTCTCAAAAGTTCTTTCGATTTTGTTGGTCAAAGTTTGATACCTGCATTTTACCGTTTGGACTCATGCAGGTGATAACCCCAGAAGCAACGAGGATAAAATGAACATGTAACCATCCAACTGCTTCAATGGGGAATAAGACCCGCCAGCGAGAACAGGCAAGACATGAGAATGCACGCATAGGTTGTACCCTGATATAGGTTTTGACGTGACTACTTTGCCCTATCCGGTGCTAGAACCCATCCCATTCCATGGTGATGGTATTCGGTGGTAGGTGGTCATCGCGTTGGTTTCAGCCATCTTCTGCGTATGTGGAGGGAGGGGGCGTAGATAGAGTCTGATGAGAGAGATCAACAATACCCGTTTGAATAAGTCCGAAATCCTTCGCGAGAGCATATCCTGTGCACAGTACAATGCAGACATTGAACCCGGCCTGACGGACGTTAGTTTCGGCTGAGGCTGCAAGTCTCTTTTTTCTTAGCTTGGCCACGCCATGGCACACGACATTATGTTATCCAACCTCTTGTGCTTGTGACATATCGTGCTGTGTTCATGTTGGTGGCTTGTATCTTTTTGACTGAACCAGGTAGATGTCAGTTATGCCTGAGCGCTATAGGATCCATTCTTCCTCCCGTGCCTATTATTGTGCCCTATTGTAGTTGCAGATGAAATGGTGGCTTACAAAGTCTCAGCCTGAAGTTGATGCATGTCATTTTCCCCTACACCCCCCTTCTCCTGTGCGGGTAGATGGGATTCTCCTACAGATCTTGTTTGCTGTGAATTTATTGTACTTCTCTCTCACTGCAGATATCACAACGTGGCTCCACGTAGACAATCAATCAGGTGTTGAATAGGTTCTATCTTATTATGATTAGTGTTGGTATTGTCCAGCACTCAGAGGAAACTTGCTCAGTTCCCCCTTTTCTTGTTCTCCCTTCAGCCCGGCTATATCTAGATACCGTTCCCGCTTCCTTTCCGGAACATCTTTCTCTGAACCTCTTAACTCTATCCAGAAATCACTTCATCCTCGCGTCATCTCAACCCCAGCAAGCCAGAGACAGCACTATCACACGTGGCGCATAGCTCTCGGCCACCGCCTCGCCCCCTGGCCTATACCTATTGTGTCGAGGACAAGATCTTGTCTCTCCCCGTTATTAACGGCAATTTTATCATCGAGAAACCTGTATATATGACTGGCCTGTCGCACTGGACTTCCTCTCCTGCATCAACACAAACATCTTATCCCATAACATCACCTGACTCTGCTCTCCTTTTCTTCCGAGAGCATCGTTGCCCGAGCACACAAATACATCTTCCCTTACAAAAAAAAAAAAAAAAAAAAAGTCATGGACGCCCCCAACAATACTTCTCAATCTCAGGACCCCCAAGCCGATGTCCCCAAGGAGAACAGTCCTCCTCCAGCCTACACACCACGAAGAGTTCCCGTCGCTGATTTCACTGCCATGATGGCCAGAATTATTCAAGAGAGGCGGGATGTTCTCCCCAACATGGGTGGAAGTATCCCACACCCTCAGCCCCAACAAACCACCTGCAATTCCCTGCTTTCTGATACTGTGGATGATGACCAAGATGAGACATCTGAGGGAAGCTCACCCATCAGCCTCAAAATCGACACATCTGTCAATGTTTCACGAAACAACAACATCGTGTGCCTCACAGCCACTCCTGCGGAACAGGCCAACGCTATCGCCAAGGCTGTCGTGCAAGCTTTACACGAGGGAAGCTCTGGCCGTTGCGGCATTCCAATGATTGACGAGTCTGGCTGCCCTCGGCCCTTGAGTATCCAGGTTGATGCGGGCCTGAATGTTGAGGGAACAGGTAATGTCATTGGAAGCCGAGATGTCATTGGAGGTCTCATCCAGAAACGTGCTGGACCTTCGCTTCGACTTGACCCGGATGATGAGGAAGACTTGGCCCCTACTAAGAGACGGCGAACAAGTCATTAAATGAATAATACCATGCTACATCTCTGGAAATGGTTGGATTTTAGGAAGTTGTTGGGTAATCACGGGCAAGCATTTCCAACGAACCTGGTGAAGGTGGATTCGAGTGTTCCTTGAGGTCCATGGTAACTAGACTTTTCTCGCGGGATGCTGAAAAGAGAACAGCAATACTGAGAAGGATATTGACGGCCTTTTTATGATTAGGGATGAAAGGCATGGGGTTGAGGAGTTTATTCATTCTTTCTTTCTTCCTTGACCAGCCGGAACCTGAAGGTCGGTGATATTCATGTAGCACAGCGGAATTAATTGCTGATTTAATATGAGAGCCATTGCTTTGTCTCAGCCACAGATTAAATGACAATCAATTAACAACTGTGTTTCCAAAAAGAAAAGTCGACTCATTGTCTACGGGATCTCTGGGATCCTCATGTCAGGCGAATATCTATCTACAGTGCCGCCTGGTATTGAGAAAGAGTAAGGTAGTCTTGGGATGCGAATAATCAGCAGAAGATACTCCTAACTGGTGATATAAAGTGATATACAAATATGATAAGAGCTTTCTTGGTTATCATTTCCGTCTCTTTCTCAAACTTCATGCTGTAATATTGGGCCCTCTTTGTTGGAATTCCTTATTGTGTTCCACTGTGTTACATGTCACTCACCTGCCACCTTCAACATGGCCGTGCCATTCTTCACCTCGACTTTCACGCGTCTATTGAACTCGAGCAATCTTCAAGCTACTCTCAACAAGGAAACCAATTACTTGGGAATAATCAATGATAGACTTGCTTCGTTCCTAGCGCTCTCGATTCTCAATAATCGCATCCTTCCAACGCCATTCCCGCCGTGATCGCATCCCCCCAACGCTAAGGCGTCAACGTTTCAATCGTCAGGTAGGGAAAACCAGGAAACAAGAGGCAACCCCCCCCCCCCCCCCTTTCCAATGGAATGGTACTGTAGCTCGGGTCGCTTGAGCAGATGGTGCACGGTCATCCTGTCCCTCGGTCCCTTTTAGCACACACGCTATCTATTGTTTGTCCCGTCCCAGTTCAGAGGATCGGGATCAGCCAAGTCGAGCTGGTGCAATTAGTCTGGCAACCGTGGAGGTAGATTCCCTATTGACACCCATCCATCTCAATGTGCAGCTTCAGTCTTACTTTGTGTGCTCTGTTGTCAGTTCCCCGATGGAATTGTTCATCGGCCAAGTCAGAACGCCAACACTGAACCGTTTTGCGTTGGGCCTTCACAGTTCTGCCCTTCGCTTGGGAAGGGCTTGGAAGACTTAGCCTATATGCCAGCCCAGTCTGTTACTGTAGCTATGTTAAGCTCACTTTCAGTGTGTCGGCGCCAGATGAAACACCCAAGATGAAAAGCCTGACTTGGTCCAGGGAGTCTCCCTCACTTGGCACCCTTGGCAATGATGACGAAGGACGACGACGCAAGCTGAGATGACTTCAGCTCCCATGATACAGTAGCTTACACTCTCTTGCTCCCCCTGCTTCGTTAGGCTTTTACCGTCTTTTGGGTGCTTTAATGTCCCCGCTACTTTATTCGAGGGTCCAATTGACATGAAAACTGGCCCCGCGCACTCCGAACTAGGCCTGCATCGGATAGCTCCATGAGGTGAGCTTCAGAAGCTCCCAGCTTCCTAACCTCCCCCTACCACATTCAGACTCAGACTCAGCCTCAGAGACAAGATCTTGGCCTCGATTCTCTTAGTTTTTATACGCGGGAGGAGCTTACCTCCGGCCTTTCCTGCTTGGCTTTAAGCTTGTCTGTCTTTTTTATTTCACCCTTCACAAACCTCTTCTTCGGGTACCTAGCTTCAGCCACTTTCCACGAGGTTTCGCAATAAGCGCCATCATTCCATTCAATTAGTGACCACCCTATTTGCGACAACCACAGCCATGGCTCACCTCACCATTCGCAATCTTACTATCAACCCAATCGAGCTCATTGAAATCGAGAGGTTCGAGGGCCAAACTGTGAGAACCGGCAATGTCCTCTCAAATATGACAAGCCATATCAGTGGCTTCATCAAGGCTTCCGACTTCAGCTCTCGCCAAACCCAGGCCAAGGGCGAGCCCATTCACAAGGAAAATACCTCTGTCAAAGTTGAGCCCTTCAAGACCAAGGATTCTGGCATCCGAGCCGCCGACAAGAATAAGGAGGTGGTTCGTCTTACCTTCAAATATGAAGATCACAAGTATCAGGTCGACATCCCCAGCCCCTCCAACAAATCTTCTGTCATGAAGAACCTGGACGGAGGCAAACATGACCTCACTGTCGTTTATACCCCCAACGGTGCCTTTCTCGCCATCTTCTCTTCTGCCCAGCTGCACCGCTGGATGCACGAGCTTCACGACGACTGGCCACTCACTCTGCTCTCGATTCCTGGCACGCACAATTCTCCTACCTGCTATACTGCTCTTCCTTCTGTTCGGTGTCAAGCGGTTGACGTCTTGGAGCAACTGAAAAATGGTGTTCGGTTCCTCGACGTTCGAGTGTCCGTCAGTCCTGACGATGATGAACTTGCTCTTGTCCACAGCGTGTTTCCCATTTCCTTGACTGGCACAAAGTACTTCAAACACATGCTCGAGGATATTTACAAGTTCCTCGACGAGAACAGCAGTGAGACTGTCATCATGAGTATCAAGCGCGAAGGTACTGGAAGGGGCAACGACGAACAACTCGGAAAATATCTGAAGCACAGCTACGTCGATAAAAGACGAAGCCGATGGTGGACTGAGCCCAAGATTCCAACTCTGGGTGGTGCCCGTGGTCGCATTGTCATCGTCCGCCGCTTCAACTTGGATGGCGAGATGAAGAAGACGTGCTGGGATGGTCGAGGTTGGGGTATTGACGCAGGCGCCTGGCCCGATAATTGTGAAGACGGCAAGGTGCCGGGAGGTATTATCCGTGTCCAAGACTTTTACGAAATTACTGAGAGCCAGAATATTGAGAAGAAGATCGAGTACTGCCGTCGGCAACTCGAACGCGCTGCTGAGCAGACCTTTGCTCTCGCTGGGATGGATGGTCATAAAGAGGATGCTGTTTTACCCCCCTTGTTCGTCAACTTCCTCACAGCAAGCAACTTCTTCAATGCAACCTGCTGGCCAGAGCGTATTGCTGCCAAGGTCAACCCTTCTGTTATCGAGTACCTTTGCATGTGCCACGGCGAGGATGGCAAGGGGCCAAACAAGCTCAAGATCGGTTCCGCAGGTACAGGAGTCGTCGTCACCGACTGGGTAGGCCACAAGGATGATTGGGATTTGATCCGCTGCATTGTTGGAATGAACGCAAGGCTGCAGCTCAAGAATTAAGTTTAGTACATGCTATAGAGTGAACGAGAACACAACAGGCGTAAAAAGAATGGATATCTACGGATATAGCTGTACCATTCCCAGGTAGGAAACATCTGCAACAATCACACATATTTACATTACATGGAGAAAGACATAGCATGGCTTGGTAAGTTATACATTCTCATACTACATAATTGATGAAGTACAATAACTTCGCGATCACTAATCGTTAAACCTAATGAAACTGGTTAGCTGTGGCATCTTCGCAATGTTGCAAGAAAAAGCATGTGTCAAGGAAACCATATCAGTTCTCCAAGGTGAAAAGGTTGTTCGTCACGATGAACTCGGATAGAGCTAATAATAGCTGAGTCATCATATGGCAGGGGTGTGCAGATATGCGCAAGGAAAATACTATCTTACCATTCATAACACTAGAATGTCTATTGTATACCTATGACGGAGTTAGCGTCCGCCGTCATGGAGGTTGGCAACAAAAGCGCAAGAACAAATCTAGACAGGTTAGCCATGGAATCGCGTATTGCTAGAGCATCGGAAGCATACCAATCAATCAGATGTTGATGTTGTGTTCATATCCCAAGGTCCGAAGACCAAGAGTCAAACAGTGTGAATACTAAAAAAACAACTCATCACGAAAGGGATGTATGTGCAAGAGTAAGAATTCTTTGTTTAGGTACCTAGGTCCTCAAAAGTCAGTCACCAGTTCTTTAACCAGATATCGACAAGAATCCATTTCCACAGGAGCCACGATCAGGTGACGAAGTATCAACAAGAGGTCCCACTACACACCCACCACAAGGATTTGTACGTCCTTGCTTTTCTAGGGCGGGAGGCAGCAGTACTCATTTATGTCCGCCCGTTCGTTCAAATCTTCATCATAAAGTGGCTGAGAGCGCTTGAGAGGAAGAAGAAATTTACCTATTGACAAGCGCGAGTTAGCAATTGCATCAGTAGAAAACGGTGCAAGCAAAGAGGCATTGTCATCTCCTGTCAGACAAGGCTGAAACTTATAACAACAGTATCCACATAGTATATTAAGAATGAGGAATCCCTAAGGTGTCGTTTTGATCATCACTCGGAGAGGGTTTGAGGGGAAAAACAAAAATATGTACCAACCTTTTAGTTTATAGCAAGAGATGACGCGCTCGATCGGGAGACGCGTCCATTGTATGGCTAGCAAGTAAACAAACAAAACTAGTGACTGGTCAGTAAGAGGTTTGCGACAAAAACGTCCTGCCGGTTCTGAGGTCCAAAGCCTTCTCAGTGTAATTCTAGAGATTGCTATATCACCATTGTGCTGGTCTGATTTGGATTGTTCGTGTATGATGTTCATCATGTGAAGCAGAAAATAAAGCAGGGAGAGGGAAAGATTCTTACCTGTAAGAAATCCAAGGTCATGATCGCGCAGAATTAACAACGCCTTCGCATCGTGTGCGCGAGCCAGACCTTGGGGAATGAAGAGGGAGAGGTTTGAGCGAAGGAAAATCGAAGACAAGAAAATTTATTGTTGGTGGAGGTCAGAATTGCTGACTGTACAATCGCACTAACCTTGTTTCGTGCTAGATGAACCCCGCAATCTGCCACCCGGTCCATACCGTGTGGCGCATGCTGTGGCGAATTATCACCGCCATAAAGGCCCTCATACCGCCCGAGCTCAATGCGTTGTACTTCAGCTTACGCACCTCACTTTCCAACACCGTTGGATTGGAAACAATAAAAAACCTCACTATGGCGTCTTTAGAGGCGCTGTTGGGTCCGATGGCCCGACGGCTTCTTAAAGTCGCTGTGGCCAAAACCACAAATGTGGTTCGGACCAAGCTCGTCTTCATGACGCGGCCCCTGCAATCCCAGCTTACACTCAGAACCGCCAGAGTTGCTCGTCAACCAATTCACCCCGTTGCTGTGCTCCGACAGCAGAAGCGCCATACTAGATGGTTCTCGAGCTCTGCAGCTCAAAATGTCAACCGAGTCATTAGGAGATTCGTTAGCTCCGAGCCCAAGGCTGCCCGGTTCGATCGATCCAAGCTCCCGACTTCGAACACATCTCGACGTGTTGCCCAGTTCTCCGGCCGAGCTCCTTTTGCCAATGCTCTTCGACCGAATCTGACCGGTGGTGCTTTTCCTCGCAGTGCTGGCGGATACAGCCTCGGAGGCAGTGCTCGGTACTTCTCGCATACTCCGGCAGCTCCGGCCCAGGTTGTGCAGAACGTCTCCCAAGCCATGAGAGCGTTCTTCCTCTCCGGCCAAAAGCTCCGCTACGATGGTCTTGGACCTCGAGGCGAGCGACAGTATCGTGCTGTGTCACCAGTCGAAGATCAGGCGATGCACAAGCTCTCCGCCTTTTCCCACTCCGCTCCCGGCTCTTTCATCGACTTCCAGCTCAGCCCTACCGTCACAGCTCTGAGCCCTCTCGCTGCGGCTATTCCCTTTGCCTCCGAGACCTCTGGTTTCAAGGCTGAGGCCGCCGCTGGCGGCGCTTCCCTCAACACTGAGGGTTTCCTCGACGTTTTGTCCTCTGACTTTGGACGAGCATTGCAAGACCTCACGGCCATCAATGCCGACCTCCGCAGGCTTGCAGTGCTGGGTGACCTCCCAGTCTTATTAGAGAAGCATAATGTTCTTCGAGTCCGCTTTCCAGGCGTTGACGCTGAGACCATTGAGCGACTTTGCGATGACATTGGTATTCAGCGCGGTGTGGTGGGCCAAGATGCCGATTTTGATCATGCAGTCGGTGTTCCGGTTGCCCTCCGTTTCCCGTTCGCTCCTGATGGCATGAAGTCGGCCTTGACCCCCGGCGTATCAGTCCGATCACTCGAGGGCTACGAAACTGACGAAATCTCGACTCTAGACGAGGAATACTTTGTTCAGCAGTCATATCTGGACGAAATGATAAATAGTCCGTGGTTGGCTGAGACCGAGGGGTACGAGACGATGTCACCTCCCGACAGCTCTTCAATAGCTGGACCGTCGGAAGACTATGAAGGCCTTGAAGGTATCTACCGATTTTTGGAGGAATGTGACCAGGCCAAGGGAAGAATTGGCCGAGCGAATTGATTTTGAGCGAAACGATACCAGAATGCCAAATGAACTGATTGGGCATTGAATTTGATGACCGACACTCTCTACACCTGTATAACCAGCAAAGGCTGGATTTAGTCTGAAACTGTAACTAGCTTGTTACCAATTGATTTCCTTGAGTGAACAATTAGCCTGTGGACTATATTGAACAAATGCGTGATATTCGTCATAAACAAATTGGTTGATAAATGTTATATTGCTGAGCTGTAATCATACCAGTTTCTTTGAAATGCCTATGAACTTCGATAGTATGCAGTTCGTCGACTCTTCTCAGATTGTTCTGTCTGGTAGCTGGCTCGTTTGTTGTATCGATGGATCAGGTGGTTGTCTTGGTGTAGGGAAGACTTTCTGAGACGGTTGAGGTTGTGCAGCTGGACGTTGCGGGTCGAGAAGATTTGTGCGAGTAGATATATCTTGCAGAAACAATGCCATTGAGAACATTTGGGCACAGCGATGCTGGCATTCAATGGAAGAGGACGACATTGTAGTCTAAGCTATTGGTTTACGATGAGTGTTGATGCTAGCGGTGAGATGAGGAGACGTTGAAAAGTGGATGGGCAAAGCATTGATGAAGTTACCCTGTGGCGAGATATCCCATATGCAAAAAAATCATGAATACGACCTACTTGCCTAGGAAGCTTGTGACAATCACACGATTGAGCAGAGCAGTTTTATGAGGAGCGATTATCACATATATGTATGTATCTTGATCATTTGAAACCGTACGGCCGGTGAGTTATGAGGAGCATCATGCGATTGATTCTCTGACTTACGATTCAAGCTCTCCTGGAGACATAGAATCAATAGCCATACCGAATATACAATTGATTTAATTACCCAATAGTATGAAATCCCCTTAGCAACAAGTCTAATGATGTTCTGATCACATGTGAAAATCATTACTCGATTTCAATATTTTGGTGTTGTTTGAGGCTACAGCTATTGTATCGTTACCTCAAAAATTCTGGTGCCTTGAAGGATCCTCTTATCCTAGTAGTTCCCATCTTCAACCTCCTCAATGTGAGCATCAAAAGCCCATCTTTGTGATATAGCGAGAAACTACCTGAAACGGAAAAAATGGCAACGGCGAATTACGTTGGCCAACGTATCTCATACGATGGCGCTCTCTGCACGGTGAGATTCGTCGGTGAAGTCTCAGGCACAACAGGGACGTGGCTCGGCGTAGAATGGGACGACTCAGCCCGTGGCAAACACGACGGATGTCACAAAGGCATTCGTTACTTTACCTGTAAGACCAGACCAGACCAGACACATCATCCGCTCCATGTATTTATCTGCTTGTGTGTATTTGATAACTGACTGACTCTCTCAAGGCAGATCTAAATTCCCCACTGCTGCCTCATTTGTGCGCCCTTCACGGCCAGCTGACCCGCCGCGTCACTTTCTAGCAGCCGTCAACCACAAATATGCCTCTGAATACACGCTTCCAGATGGCAGAAGGGCTGCAGAAGAGATTGTGTTCTTCGGAAAGCGTGCTGAGGAGGTGGGGTTTGAGAAGATCCGCCGTAAGCAAGCCAATATCGGCGAGCTCACTGTGGTGATTCTCGAGGACCTCCAGGTTTCCAGTGCCAGAGCAGACGACGAGAGCGAGGGAGTCATTGCAAAGACGTGTCCCAAGATTACGCAGTTGGACCTCAGTCGCAATTTGTTTGAGCGGCTTGACCCCGTGTTTGAAATTTGTCGTGAGCTACCAAACCTCCAGCACCTGACCCTCAAGTATGACCCTCTGGCCATAGGCAAACAAGTCGCTGACCTAGTTATAGTGGGAATCGATTCCAGAATGTTTTATACGATCAAGTAAGCGATGCTGTAAACAGCGTCAAAGAGCTGTCGCTCGAGGAAACCTTGCTGAGCTGGGAGGAAGTTTGCCACATTGCAACAAAGTCTCCATCTTTGGCTGCTCTTGATGCTGGATCAAACCAATTTCAATCTCTCCCTGCTTTAGACTATGGCAATCTTTCGTCCACTTTGACATCTATCAACCTCGAAATCAACGAATTCACTTCGTTTGTGGACATCAGCACCCTTGCAACACTCAGATCACTTCGCAACGTCCACCTCAAGGGGAACAACATTTCGACAATTGCCCCTGAAGGTACAGAAGGACCGATCTTCTCAGATACTGTCCAGTATCTCGACGTCTCCTATAACAAAATTCAATCCTGGGAATTTGTGAACCAGCTTCCCAAACATTTCCCTGGTCTAGTTGGGTTGCGAATTGGCCACAACCCCTTCTACGACGCTGTGGACGCTGATGCCAAAGCATCGTCTTCGGAGGAGTCACACATGTTTACTGTCGCCCGTCTTGGGTCACTAAAGTCCCTCAATTTCAGCCAGATCACGCCGGCTGATAGAAGTAACGCCGAGATGTTCTATCTTTCGCGGATTGCAAAACAGCTCGCGGCTGCACCAGAGGACGCCGAACAAGAAGTCCTGGCAAACCACCCTCGCTATTTCGACCTTTGCAAAATCTACGGCGAGCCAAACATTGTTCGTCAATCAGAGGTCAACCCTGCTTTCCTGGAGGCACGTCTAGTTACCGTTGCTTTCCGTCTTCAAAATGGCGAGGAAAAAGTGAAGAAGATCCCCAAGTCGTACGATATCTATGCCGTAAAAGGCATCGCTGGAAAACTGTTTGGCCTGTCGCCTCTCAGACTGGGGCTTATCTGGGAAACAGGAGAATGGGACCCTGTAGCTGGCTTTGACGATCAAGAGGGCGATAGCAGCGACGAGGAGGATGCCGAAGAGGAGAGGGAACGCAAAGGAATTGACACACATGCTGCTGAGGAGGATACTGCAGGCAAACCTGGACGATGGGTCAAAAGAGAAGTGGAACTCAAAGATGGACCTAGACAACTGGGTTACTGCGTAGATGGTTTGGATGTCAAGATGCGTGTGGAGGCTCGATAAATGAGTGTGCTGCATGGAGCAAGATATCAAATGATGGGGTCAAAAATGACTATGATGAAGGATCAATAAGCTTTTTGTCACTTAGGATATAGGTATAAAGTTTATTTGTCTCCCCTGGGTGTGACAAAGCCTTCTTGGTTTGCATCTGAGCCTTTGTCCGTCCTCACTTGTGTCACAGCAAACGGAGGTCCATGAGACAACAGGGAACTGACAAACTGTACGCGCAAATTATATAAAGAGAGCCCCTCAGGATCTGACCTTCAGAATTCTGCTTCCATCATATTTCACGCCTACAACTTGCTTCTTCACCTTTCTCCTGTTCCTTGACCACACATCACTCGCCAGCCAACATGGGAATCAAACCACAGTTCTTTCTGGTCAGACCAGGGGCAGAGCAAATCACACCCAACGGCCAAGTTATTTCTCAGCCTGCAACTGCTGTCCCTCTTATCCCGGCAGACCTTCTTCCAGAGTGGATCGAAGTCATCGGCGCCCCTCGAAGTTTGTCCCCAGATGAGACTAGAGACATGGGGAATTTGGGGGTTATTCATGCTGAGCTGGATACTTACAAGCTTCGATTCGCTCCCATTACTAGGGATGGAGCTTCAACTAGTGGTGAATCGGACGCTTCAGAGGAGCGGGCCACTGAATGTCAGCCTGGTCCTTGCCCAGTGGGTGCATCATCTTCTCACAACTACTATGAGAAACCGAAACCAACTCCAACTACAACTCAGCTCAATTCTCAGATTTACAAGCTAAAGCCAGCACAAGGCCTCTCGTCTAGTCGCCACAATCCTGCCAACCAACAGCAGCCAGCCCACCTCAGGCCTACGTCCCTCAAAGAGACACCGCAAATTCCAACCAACACTACGGCACCGTCATCTCAACTGCCCACACCCTGTCGACACTGGTGCCACCACGGCGTCTGCAAATGGGGCCGAGACTGCCACTATGAACATGTAATGCCCGTCACTGCAGAGGGTCTCGGAGAGGTTGGTCTGACTGGATTCCCTGATTGGTGGCTTCAAGCACAGGGATTGATGCCAATGTCCCCCCAAGCACTTCGTGCAGCCGATGCTCCGTATGGTCGACGAACTGCGAGGAGGATTGCGAATATCCTCAGAAGAAAGCAGCGAACCCGGATTCTTGCTCAGCGTCGAGATGTGCACTCCGCAGACCTTGAAGAGGAATCCGAAGCTGAGTATGAGTATGAAGACGAAGAAGACATCGAGGGGGAAGTGGTCAAACCTGAGCCGAAGAGAGGAGGAGAGGAGGGAATATTGATTAACCTTGATTAACGAGAATGATGACCACAATATTTGAGGGTATCAGCACTAGGAGACAGCTTCCATTGCTGCGTATACTTGGTTCCTCCAGATAACTACCTCCCTGACCTACTTCGCATCAAATCGGATTAACAGCACTAGCCAATATTTTATCTCCATCAGGGACTACTCGACGGCACGCAATTCCGTAAAGAGCAAGCTCCGATCTGTTGGCTTCGGGCTCTCACGGGGCATCGCGTTACGGGATAAGCACTGGACCTAAGTTTAGTCAGATCCATTTTCGGATTTATGTAGCATTTTGAAGCTGCAATCCCGATGAACGGGTGTGGCGAACAACACCATTATGGGTCAGATAGAGGGTGAATAATCAACCGAGATAGTCGCATAGAACTTGGAGTTAGATGCATTCATTTTCCTTCTGATGTATAAGTACCTTCATACCCTTCCTCATTGATTGCTGGAGTCTCACAGCTCCTCTCTCAACTCGATATCACCAAGCCCACCCACATAGTTCTTCTAGCTTGGATTAAATACTCAAACACATATCCATATACACATCCATAAACACCAAATATGCCCGAAGTTCTGGGAAGGCATGTCGGCCCTCTCGGCTACGGCCTTATGGGTATGTTCGGTCGTTCCACTTAATTAAAACAACCAGACTGATAACTTTGAAGGCTTCACTTGGCGTCCGAAACCAACTCCTTTGGATCAGGCTCTTGACGCTATGCACACAGCCTTCGCCAATGGCTGCAACCTCTGGAGCGGCGCTGAATTTTACGGACCTCCAGAGTACAACAGCATGACTCTCATCAAGGCATACTTCACAAAATTCCCACAAGATGCTGAAAAGATCACCATCGCCATGAAGGGCACTTACAACCCTGATACGTTTCAACTTGATGGATCTCCTGAGAATGTGCGAAGGTCTATTGACAATGTGCTCAATCAACTGGGCGGTGTCAAGAAACTTGATATCTTCGCGCCATCAAGACGGGACCACAAAGTGCCCTTTGCAGAAACCCTCAATGTCATTCAGAAGGAATATGTTGATACCGGCAAGGTCGGTGGCATTGCTCTGTCGGAATGCAGTGCCGAGACTATCGAAGAAGCCGTCAAGCATGTCAAGGTCGCTCTCGTCGAGGTCGAATGCAGTCTGTTCAGCCCCGACATCCTCAAGAACGGCGTTGCTGCTACGTGTGCTAAGCACAATATTCCTATCATGGCCTACGCGCCTATTGGACGCGGCGTAAGTTCGCCTATTCAAACCTAAAGAACATAGATCTAACAGTCACTACAGATGTTGACAGGCCGCTTTGCCGACAGCTCTCAATTCCAGGGCCAGGGCATTGCCAGCGGATTCCCGCGTTTTCAGCCAGAATCCTTCCAGCACAACCTCAAGCTTGTTGACCAAGTCAAGGCGGTAGCAGAGAAGAAGGGAATCACATCTGCACAGCTTGCCATCAACTGGGTTAGAGGACTAAACAGCCGCAAGGGAATGGCTACCATCATTCCCACCCCTGGCGCAACCACAACACCTCGAGTCGAGGAGAACGCCCAGTACTTCCCGCTTTCGGAGGAAGAGATGAAGACTCTTGAGGATATAGCCTACGCATTTGAGGTTTCTGGCGGGCGGTATCCTGAAGGCGTGCCAATGGAGGCCTAACTGTGTGGCAAAGTCTGTGATTGAGTCAGAACACGGTTTCAAGACAGAAATGAGAAACAATGAGTAGCAAGGTTACTATTCAGCTGTAAAGTGTCCACGTGTTGTCCAAAACCAAAAGGACATTCAGAATTGCAGAATTCATAAAAATGAATGCCATCATGAAAAATTGAATGAGTGTTGCAAAAGAACTGTGGCTTACCATACTGTATCTATTGTCTTTCGTAGCACCTAGTTGTAGTGATGGACTCCTAGAGGGAAGATAAAGTCTTCAGATGACTGCTCATCGTTGCGCAGAGTCTCTCAACTACCTAGGTAGAGAGCTAAGGGTTTTTAAAGCTGAGGCTGAGCTTCTGCTCCACGATAAAATGAAGATATTGTTCATGTGGAGACAACACGTGACACCGTACTCCTGCCCGGGTCTCGACGGGAGATAACAGCAAGGGCCTGTAACTGGGGATAGTGATTCGTAGAGATCAATATATTGAATTAAATCATCGGAGAAAAGAAAGAATGAAACATAAAAAAAACCTTGGGTATATCAATAAATTCGTCTCTCAGCTACCTCGCAACACAAGAACGCACGCCACTATGCTGCCAATACTCCATCCAATGGAGATCACTAATTAAACTATCAATGCACCATTTGAACCGACTGCCTCCAGTCGGTTTACAAGCTTCTTCACATTCGCCCAGTCCTCGTTCTTTGGGCCATCCTTGCCACCAAGACCACTGGCAACCTCGAATACTGTGAGAGAGCCATCGATGCCACCAGTCGCAAGGCGCTTTCCATCGTTGGGCTCCCATGCAACCTTGTTCAGACTCTTCGAAAGCATAGTTCTGCCATCCTTTCGAGAGCTGGGCGAAATCTTGGACACAGGCTCTTCCGTCTCGACTGCAATGTCCCAAAGCTCCAGCCATCCAGCACCATCGACCAATGCAAATATGTTCGGCTTGACGGGCGACCACTTGGCGTCGTAGACGACGTCCTCACGCACAAAGTCAATTAGGGGCGAGATGGTGCCATCGCCAGAGCCGATTGTAGATGTCGCCGCAGGTGCTCGAACCTTCCAAAGCTTAACACTCCAATCGAGCGACGACGATATGACCAGGTCGCCCAAATCCACCGGCCCCCTAGCAGGATGGAAATCCACAGACATGACAGGGGCGGTATGTCCCTTGTAGCTGATCTTCTTATCAACACCAGCCTTGGCACCGGCACGGTCGTATCGGTGGCAAGGGAAGATGGTGCCCTCCTCACTGCCAACGAGGAAGAATGTAGGATCTGTAGCTGGGAAAGAAAGGCACGTTGGGCTCACATCTTCAACAGCCACCTTGGCCTGGCTAGGGTTCTTGAGTTCAAGAAGTTCCTGAGGCTGAGCAAAGACGTCCATTGTCCAGCCACAGACCACACCATCAGTGGAACAAGAAATGATATTGTTGGCGTTCTGAGTACCAACAATATCAACAGAGTAGATAGGGTGGGCATGACCGTAGCCCGTAAGGGGGGTCTTTTGAACCGGAGCCGCCTTTGCTCTCGTATCCCACAGCAACACCTGACCACTATACGAACCACCGATAATCAAGTTATTGTGGTAAGGAGAAAACTTAGCAGTCAAGACATCTGACTGCGCAGTGAAAACGTATTCAGGGCGATCCTGCATGTGCATGTTCCACACCTGAACCAATCCGTCAGGTTCATGGGGAGCTGTCGGGTTTTTGGTGTATGACGCGAGGACAAGCTCGCTGAACTTTGGCGAGAAATCAATTCCGCTGATCATGCGCTTCTTAGACCACCGCTCGTCAAAGAACTGGACCACTTCTTTTATCCTGTGCCGCCCCTTGCCGCCTGTGTTACCACTATCTTCGTCTTCATCATCGTTATCCTGGCCTTGTAAAGCGTAGTCTGTCAGAATGTCATATGTCTCCTGGTCGAGAGCTCTCTCGATCACCTTTGTCGACTTATCCAGGAAGTCAACGAATTCATCAGAGTGGGCGACAGCGTCTAGCTCTTCGGCGGTGAGATTCCTGGAAGGGTAATTCAAACCCGAGCCGGAAGGAAGCACACCGTCGCTCAGAAACTCCTTTGTCGCTCTCAATTCCTCCTCCACCTCTTCTCTGATCTTTTGTCGGAGTTCCTCTTCTCGATCTCGCTCTCTCCTGCTCAGCCTCTTGCTGGGCGTTGAAGTTACGGCGGGAACATCTTCGGCTTCAGATATGAGAGACTGAGCCCTGGTTCTGGTAGGTGTGGTCCACTCCTCTGTAGTCTGGACACCTTTGCTGTATGAGAAGACCTCCTTTACTGGCGACGGCGGGCATTCGAAAACGGTCAGGAGGGGAACAGTGCTAAGACTAGGCGGCGGTTGCGCGGGAACTTGAACGTGGCTAGTGGTCGTGACTTCGGAGGGTTCGTTGCTGATTTCGCCGGCGCTGAGGACACTGTTTGGGCGGCTACCACGAGGAGCCGGAGAGCCAGGTCCTCCCGTGACAGTCGAGCCGGGTCTACTGTCACCGACGAGACTGTTTATAAGAGTTTCGATCTCGCGGCGGTTATCTGCTCTTCCAGGAGTTGGCGATATCAACTATGGTTGAGAAACGTCAACGATGGGCTTAAAGGCGGTAGGGTATCAGGGGACCAACGTCGCTTGAGGTTCCTATGTTGGAGCGACTTGCTGTTGCTTGGCTTGCCCGAAGCTCTCTCTGGCGCTTGAGCTCAGCAAGCTTCGCCTTCTTCGCTAGAATTTCATCTCGACGTTGTTGCATTGCGGACGTTCCACAGTCGCATTGCGAGACTGAACAATATGTTGAGAGCTATGAGACTGGGTTTGGGAGGATATAACGCGACAAGGCGATGAACGATGATAAATTAAGTCTCGCAAAACAGATAAGCGACGAAAAAATCGCAAGAAATAAAAAGTTGTCCTTCGCGACAAAATGAGGCGACTGTACTGTAAGTTCTTTGTTGCGTGTTTGGAGCGATCAAGTTATGAAATGCTCCAAGGTATGAGCTTGTGATTGGGTCCAATTGAATCCATCCATGCGCGAGCAACAACTCAGGCACTTGCAACCCCCATAACCCCCCTGCACAAGCCTGAAATCTGAAGAATGCTACTGGAATTGAAGGCGGTACGTATCGCTGTTCAACTCCACAGCGAATTGATCTGGGAGATGAGGACGAGCACGTGATCACATTGGCCGGCTCACTGGCTACTGGCTCCAGCTTGTCCGAGCTCCCAGCCGCCAGCGGTTGGCTCTCTTTGGCAGCGAATGGAAAAACTGCGACTTTTCCCGACGACTTTTCAATCCTTCACCTCAAGCCGACGCATCTAATCCCCTCGAGCCACTCCGACTGGGCCCATTGACAAGCCATTGTCGACCGCCGACTATCGTCAATACCGATCCTTTCGCTCTTCGTCCCGTTCGCCCTTTTTTGCGACTCTAATTCCCAATGGCTTCGACCGGAGTGAACGTGCGTGTTATCCTCCCCGATTCGGCCGCTCGACCGTGTCCCAACCCCGAGCAATCGACGACGTCAGGGAATACGATCATTCGAGCGGCAGAATTGGATAGCTCATGGACTTGAGGACTAATTGAGTCATTTACAGGTTTTGCGGTGGTCCGCCCTTGGCCTAGGTATCTTTTACGGTTTCACCCACCAGCGAGCGATTACTGCCTCGCAAAAGGCCGAGCATGCGCAGCACGAGTACGAGAAGAAGGAGAAGCTTATCCAGCAGGCCAAGGCTGAGTTTGCTAAGAAGAACAACCCAACATCTGGCGACTCTGGTACGTCAGACCCAGTTTCGCTCTAAAAGCACTCCTAGCAATTGGCCGCGGCATATTGCACATGCGAGACACACAACCTGTCGAGACCTCAAAACTAATCGTGCATACAGTTATCACCGACCCCTCAGACCCCAAGTTTGATCTCGAGAAGCTGCTGTTGAAGGTGCAGAAGGAGAACCCTTAAATATGTAATACCGGCGCGGGGAAACGCAACGCAAGATATGAGAAGGGAGAGGATGGAAGCAATGGGAGGTTTCGGCGAAAAGGTTGACCAACCGTAGGGAAACAGGTCCTGCCGAGGCATAATCCGAGCCTCGAACCAGACTCGGTGTATGATTTAGGATATACATGGCGGCCCTGCATAGATGTTTCCTTAGGTCCCTGTTTAACTCTGTGTACAGGTGTACAATATATCTACTTTAGACGACAAGAAAAACGTCAATGGTTTTGGCTAGGGCTTGTAACACTTGGGCATGCAATGGGAGACTTTGAGCGGGAAAGCTGGTAAGTTTCTCTGCGGGCTTATATGATGATGTGTATCAGGTACGGATGTATGTATGTTTAGTTTTACAGGAAAAAGCAAGTGAACGACGATAAGCGACTCTGGTGCTCGAGGCAGTTTCTGTGACCAGTGAAATGACATGTAGATGAGCTTGGGTAACTTCACCTACATTGTATGCTATCCTAGTGAAATTCATCGAAATTGACGTAGAATGACCTGATCATCATCGTCTTCTTGATAACTATCCTAGAGCTTCGCCGGATAAACTGTGGCTCAGCACCCTACGGCCGTAGGTACCTAGGTCAGTAGCTTACCTTAGTAGGTACCACCTTCCTTACCTTGCTGAAGTTTTGAGTGGATGCACGGCCGCGTAAAGGATACGTACCTAGGTCGGGGTGGGTCCCACATTCACCTCCTGTAGCTTCCCCCGTCTCAGTAGGAAAGCTCCAAGCTGTCCTTCTGGTGGAGTTGAATATCATCTTGGGTTTCGGCTTCTGCAAGTTGCATCAACTCCAGGGTCAAATATCGTCGACAATCGCAGCCCATCATGGCGGTAAAGACGGCAAAGACCGAAGACGTCCTCGCCGGAGTGAACGGACAAAACACTAGGACTCTACTAAGAGTCATCATTCTTCTCTTGATCGCTGGCGCAGCTGTGTCCAGTCGCCTTTTTTCTGTTATACGTAAGTGCTCTCTTCCCATGATGGGCGAATGCCCTCAATTCCTGCTCTGGCTTTTCTGTCTCCAGAGTACAGGGGGTCCTCTTCTATTAGGAATGCATCTTTTGCTGACACGTCCGGCGTAGGCTTCGAAAGTATTATTCACGAATGTCAGTCTTGCTCATACTAACAGATTGCTCCATCATGGCGAGCTAACCTCTAAGACAGTCGACCCGTGGTTCAACTTCCGCGCGACAAAATACCTCGTCGCCAATGGATTTTACAAGTTTTGGGATTGGTTCGATGACAGGACATGGCATCCTCTTGGGCGGGTTACCGGAGGCACCCTCTATCCTGGTCTGATGGTGACAAGCGGCGTCATCTACCACGCTCTCCGCGCCCTTACGGTTCCTGTCGATATTCGAAACATTTGTGTCCTTCTGGCCCCGGCCTTCTCTGGACTGACAGCCTATGCTACCTACCTACTTACCAATGAGATGACCACCTCTTCTTCCGCTGGTCTTCTTGCCGCAGTTTTCATGGGCATTGCACCGGGTTACATCTCTCGATCCGTGGCCGGTAGCTACGATAACGAGGCCATCGCCATTTTCCTTCTTGTTCTCACATTCTACCTCTGGGTTAAGGCCTTGAAGCTGGGCTCGATGCTGTGGGGTGCTCTTTGCGCACTATCGTACGCATACATGGTTGCGTCGTGGGGTGGATATGCTTTCATTACATGTCTACTGCCCGTCCATGCCTTCGTTCTTATTTGCATGGGTCGATACAGCGATCGCCTCTATATCAGCTACACGACGTGGTACGCTATTGGTACCATGGCTAGTTTCCAGGTGCCTTTCGTCGGCTTCCTTTGTGTCAAGACCAATGAGCACATGCCCGCGCTTGGTGTGTATACACAAACATTCGTTGCGACCCATGGTACTAACATTATCGTGTAGGTGTTTTTGGCCTTCTTCAGGTGATTGCATTCATTGTTTACGTCAAGTCTGTTATCCCTGGACGACAAATCACAACCATCGTAGTTGCCGCTGGTGTCGCGACCTTCTTCATCGGTCTCGCTGGCCTCATTCTTTTGACCTCATTTGGATACATCGCGCCCTGGGGCGGTCGATTCTATTCGTTATTCGACACCGGCTATGCCAAGATTCACATTCCCATCATCGCTTCAGTCTCTGAGCATCAGCCTACCGCATGGCCCTCCTTTTTCTTTGATCTTAACTTCCTCATTTGGCTCTTCCCTGCCGGTGTTTATATGTGTTTCCAGAACCTCGCGGATGAGCATGTATTCATTGTTGTCTATGCTCTGTTTGCAAGCTACTTTGCTGGTGTTATGGTCCGTCTTATGCTCACACTGACACCTGTTGTGTGTGTTGCCGCTGCCATGGCTGCCTCTCAGCTCCTCGACACCTATCTGCGGGTCAATCAGCCTGAGCCCACCCAAGCTGCACAAGGAGAGGCCGCTGATGGATCCAAGAAGGCCAAGGGTGCACTTCGAGCGACCGCAAAGCCCGAGGTCGGTGTTTACACTACTTTGTCCAAGATTACGGTTGTTGCTGGCATGGCCATCTACCTGGTCATGTTTGTTACACACTGTACATGGGTCACCTCCAACGCCTACTCAGCACCCTCTGTTGTCCTGTCCAGTCGGCGCATGGACGGCAGCCCGGTCATCATTGATGACTATCGGGAGGCCTATCAGTGGCTCCGACAGAACACTGGCAAAGACGCCAAGATCATGTCATGGTGGGACTATGGTTATCAGATTGGTGGTATGGCTGACCGACCAACGCTTGTTGACAACAACACCTGGAACAACACCCACATCGCTACTGTTGGAAAGGCCATGAGTTCTCGCGAAGAGGTCAGCTATCCCATCATGCGCCAGCACGAGGTTGACTATGTCCTCGTCGTCTTTGGTGGCGTCCTTGGCTACTCCGGAGATGATATCAACAAGTTCCTCTGGATGGTTCGTATTGCGGAAGGCATCTGGCCCGATGAGGTCAAGGAGCGCAACTTCTTCACCGAACGCGGCGAATACAGAGTTGATGCCGGTGCTACCGAGACCATGAAGAACAGCTTGATGTAAGTAAACTTCCGCGCAGCGATTGTTCACCATGCTAACAGGTTACTTTCAGGTACAAGATGTCTTACCACAACTTTAACAAAACGAACTCCCCTGGAAAGATTGTTGATCGGGTCCGGGGTGTTAAAATGCCCGATACAAGCCCCACACTCGATGTACTGGAAGAAGCCTTTACCAGTGAGAATTGGCTCATCCGTATTTACAAGGTCAAAGATCTTGACAACGTTGGCCGTGATCATTTTGAAGCGGGTGCCTTTAGCCGTGGGCAGAAGAAGAAGAAGGCGGTCCAAAAGCGAGGTGCCCGCGTTCTCCGTGTGGATTGATTAGATGGAGAACGAGCTTTTGGTGCTGGAGCCTAGGAAGAAAGGATACAGGTTCCCGGTTTAGCTCGTATTTAGACAAAATTGAATTCAACATGTATATCAGTGTAAGATTTGGTTGGAAAAGAGATTTCGCTGTCTCATTTGAGTACCGTTGAAGCAACTCGTGGATGATGTTCAGTGTGTTTGCTGCCATCTGTCATGTCAATGGTCTATCAGCGGTGACAAAGAGTGGCATTAAAGGCTTTGGCTTGTTTGCTTGATAAAGCTAAGGAAAGAGAAGAGGGGAAACAAGGGCGCTGTCGTTTGCCAGCTTGAAAACGCCTGAATACAACGACAAGATTGATTGCTGATGTTGATAACGAAGTTGGTGACTTTGTCGGCATGCCCGAACAGAAGTCCGTATACAAGAGAGGGGGATGACCTGTCCCATCTTCATATGTTCTCTCTTCTTCATACTCAATCAAGGTCATCTTCCTCTTTTCCTTGGCAGATATCTGTTATTCTCTGGTGCTTACGCTGCTGTCTTGACATTTTAGGAACCCCCTCGAAGATAACCGTGCAGGAGCAACACCCCTTTTGCCTTGTAGGTTTTGAGCAGAAATCATGCGTGTTAGCATAGTCTTCTAGAGCAAAATCATCAGAAGCGCCCTATGTGACGGGAGTCAGTAAGTTCCTTCGTCGGTCGAATATTAGGCAGACAGGGGCATCAAGCTAATATTTTCTTTCACTGTCTCCTTTTTAGAAATAAGACTTATGGTTGATCTAACCAGAGACTCATTCTAGAACCTGAAAGCTCTGGGCACGGTCTGTCCCATTTTGGTGGTCTCTGAGCTGCCACTTGTAGAAACAAGTGACAGTTCTTGCCAGCTGCCAACGGCCGTCACAACAACCACCTCTATTCACCTTTTCTAGGGCGCCCACAATTTCAAAGGGTATCAGGAAACTCGAGCAAACGAAGAAGTTTCTGTGTTTATTGTTCGAGGACCTCACGGAAACCATTTTCTTCCTCTTCCTCTTCTCTTCCTCTACCATCGCTGCCCACTCTCCTTCTCATCTACCCCCCACACACAAACACTCTCTATACCACCACCAAATCGCCATCTGTATACGAATATCAAGGACACTGCCTTTATTTCTCTCAGGAGACTTCTCCTATCTGCAGAGTAATGAATATCTTTAACAAAGCTATTCGCCGCCGCCGCCATCGGCCTGACTATGATGTCGACCTATTGAGTGCGGCCTTCGGCCTCCCATTTCTGCGTGGTAATGGATCTGGAAACAACAGCGCTCGCCGTGTGGCACTCGACTACGTATCTGAATCTGAATCTGAATCCGAATGTGGTGATGGTAGTGAAGTCGGCTCCGAGGGCGCGTCTTCTTCATCTTCTGGGGATGATCGAGGGCGGCGTCAACAACGTGGCCATGATACACCCGAAAGAGTCTCTGCGTCCCGTCCACTTCCTCATTCGTCTCCTCATCCTTCAAAGGGATCCCCCAAGAGAAAGAAACACCATCGTCGACATCTCGCCAAGTCATCACCTCGCTCAGGTCCTCGGAAATCGTCTCGTCGACGGGGATCTCGCTCGAGTTCTCGAAGAT